TTTGTGCACAGATGGAATGCTGACAGGCAGGCAGGTAGGCCATCCAGTTATTTTAGCCGGGCCGGCTAAAATTATTGGTCGTGCTTTTTACAGCGCTACGACTTCCACAGATGACATTTTTTTATGTATTTATTGTCAAAGCATTTAATATATTCATTGCTATCGGGATGTTAAGAGCATTCCATGGAATATAACAAAAACTGTTTCTGAAATAAATTACATACCCCACCTTTAACTTAAAAACTGGAGACTGAAGAGGTTTTTCACATAATGGCAAGATGTACTTACCTTTAGAGCAGGGGTTCCCAACCTTTATTGTGCCAAGGACCGGTTGTCAATTTTAACTGATTTTAATATTTACTCACCACCAGCAGGTAGCAACAGAGGCTAATTGTATGTAACAGCCTGAACAAATACTAGAACAATATGCATCCAAAACATATTAACAAAGTTTAAAAAAGAACCGGTGTTGTTTTTTGGTTTTTCGGAAAACCAAAAAACCGACGTTATTCAGTTTTTAAACCAAAACGGGAAAACAGATAAATCAACGTTTTGGTTTTGTTTGTATGATTTACGGATAATCCAGTGAATGCTGGGAAAATGAGGAGAAGGCGCATTATGAAGGAGATGTCCGGTCGCCAGGGTGTGTGTGTGTGTGTGTGTGTGTGTGTGTGTGTGTGTGTGTGTGTGTGTGTGTGTGTGTGTGTGTGTGTGTGTGTGTGTGTGTGTGACACTGGCATTTGTTTTCAGAAGATATTATGATAGTGTCGTTCGTTCCGGTGCACTCCGACAGCATTTAGCACTACATCGAGATTAAGATTAAACTAATTTATTTTGGGAACAGCCGCATATATGCCGGTGTCGGACAGACACAAACACACAGAGCTGAGCTGAGCAGAGCACATACACACACACACCATGCGCCTTGGTGACTGACTGGACATCTCCTTCATAAAACGAATAAAAGGGGGAGTAATCGGGCAGTTCGATGTGTGTAGATGTGTGTGTGGTTAACACGTAGCAGCCTGCAGTCACTCTTAAGCTGTTCTGATTAAATTAAACACAGCGAAGGCGGTGCGTAAAAAGGCACAGCTCTTTACCGAGTATACGTCCCGCTGCCTCCTGATGCTGCAGCCATTTCATGAAGTGAAGGAGGGTTTCCTTCTATAAAACAGCTGCGGGCAGCAGATACCGTGAGGGTCCCGGACATTAATTCATAGATCAAGGCAGACTGGATTACTCTCCTGTTTTGCCAATCAAATAGCTCTACACCCCTGGCCGACATGTCCTTAAAATGAAGTCCGAGTTTGAAATATATCTAAAATAATGTATGCACCACCATTTCCCCACATAAACATAACAGTCTGCAATCAAACGGTTGTCTCCTGTGCGCTCCTCTTCCTACTTGGCGCACCGGTAACATGCTTGTGCGCACAAGAGGCTGAGACCATAGGCTGAGCCGCCGAATCCCTCGGAACATCATAAAAGCCATTTTCAACCGTTTTCTGGTGAAAGATTAACTAGCTACTGGATGAAATAATATGACTGGTGGCATAGGTGCGAAAATTAAACACTTTTTGAAAAAAATATTATGATAAAATATTTTTATATATTTATAATTCTGCAAATATTACGATAAACTCACAGCTATTTCGCGGCCCGGCAGTAACACCTCTGCGGACCGGGGGTTGGGAACCCCTGCTTTAGAGAATAGAGATATTCATGTGCAAACAGAACAGCAGAAACATTTTAACACAAATCAAGCAGAACATTTACCTGGTTCTCTTTAATCAGCTCCGCTGCAGGCTCTTCCTGAGACTCCGTCAGGCGGGAGGGCGGCTTCCGTCTAACTTCAACGTGGTACTGTTTAACAGACATGTCAATTATTGTAGCGAACACACATAACTGTACACAGCAAATTCTGTGGTGTGAAATAGTGTAGATTTTTCAGTGTCAATTATTTCGAGTTGATAAGTGTTGATTTGGGTGTTCTTTTAACACTTGCAGTGCTGAAAAAGCTCTAAGGCCGGTGTTCTTTAAGGGAGTTGATTGCATGCACTCTAGTTGGAGTTAATTACACTTCCGGTTTTAGTGCGCCTTTTTTCTTCATCTCATGGCGGAGAACAACCTGTGTCTGGAAGGGGAGCCTACATTATTTCAAAAAGGTAAGGACCAGGTATATTCAATCATTTATGCTGCTCATTTTTGTATTAAAAGTATGTATAAACGTCACGTAGGGTGTGACTCAAATGTGTCAAGGCTGGTGTGGAGGCTTTTGCTGGTATGACTCTCACTAGTATTACATTGCGCAAAGTCATGTGTAATTTGCATGCAGCCATGACCATAAGCGGGAAATCAGGTGGAGATGAGTTGCAGCTGTGTTAGCCAAAACGTTCCAAAAACGCCATTGAGTTCAGTCAGCACGAGTGACTAAGGTAAAGATAGATAGCTACTGATGTTGGAACGGTTATTACAATTTTCAATAATATTCGTTTTACGTTGTCTTCTCTTGTTCTTACCACTCATGGTCTAGCTGCTAGCTAGCTCTATGCTAACGCTAGCTCGATGCTATCGCTAGCTCTATGCTAACGCCCCGTTTAACTAGCTTGTTAACTTGCTCACTGGCTATGGCAATTAGCTAACCAACATGTCCCATTTTATTAAGTGCCAAAACTGCTTCTGAATGAGAAGAAGACTGATTTGAGAGGCTAATCAAGCCATAGCTGTTTAGCTAACGTACGTTAGCTAGCTGTAGTTAGACACGTGGTGAGGACAGGAGGTGGCTTAACACGTTTATATCAGTAAATGAATGTACAGATGGATTACAAAAATCTGCATGAAGAGGCTAAGCCTACTTAATTGAGTGGTTGCGTATTTAAAAAAAAAAAAAGAAAGAAACTATATTGTTCCAGACAGAATCTTTTAGATTTTTAGATGTGGCAGCTAAAAAAAGTTAACTGCTAACATTATCTCCATTGTGGTTTCTTTAAGAAGACGTTGAAGATGTTGCTGAAGGTAAAATACCAGAGTACCAAAAAGTACATCAGGTTAAATCTGGGTTTCACCTATTTGGAATTCATCAATGAAGGTGAGTAGCCATCTTGTTAGTGATGTGTCGGTCGCGAACGAGCCGGCTCAAAGAGCCGGCTCTTTTAAGTGAACGACGGGAGCCGGCTCGCGCCCGCGAACGAGCCGTTTTTTTTTTTTTTTTTTTTAAGTAATACAAGACAGAATGATATGATCTCCGCGCTACAGCTGCTCCGTGCATGCATGCAGTGACATGTAATATCCAAGGATTAGAGACTGTTGGATGCTGCTGTTTTGAGCATTGCAATACATTTATTTTTATTATGTTTTTTTATGATTAGAGACGGTTGGATGCTGCTGTACTGAGCATTGCAATATATTTATTTTCACTATGTTATTTATTTATGATTATCCTTGGGCTCAGCAAAGATTTGATGTCAGCTGTTGCTGTCTTTTTTTCTATAGTTAATACTGAAATAGAGCCCTGCTGTTTTGTCAGGGCCCTTTCTTTAAATATAATTTTAAAATGTCGATACAGTAGCCCCTTTTTTTAAATGTCTATGCTTAAGTTTTTGTGTTGCTATCTGCTTTGTGTAGCGTGGTTCTACAAACAAGTCTGTGCATTCATTGGGTGGTATCAGAGAGATACAAGGGTCTGTAAATGCAATGAAAACAATTGGCCACAGCAAATAATTGATATTAAACATGTAATTTTTACTTTTGAATACTTCAGTACAAAGGATGTATTGAATAATTTAAATCATTAGTCAAAACAGGGCTACATTTGATTGAATTATAAAAGGTATAATATGTGGTAAACTGAAGAGCCGTTTGGGAGCCGAAAGAGCCGGCTCTTCTTGGTGAGCCGAGCCAAATGATCCGGCTCACCAAGAAGAGCCGGAATTCCCATCACTACATCTTGTGTAACAAAATGTACAGCTTTGCAGAAGCAAAAGGATTTATGTGGTATTATTTAGATAACTTAGCTTTGGCCAGCAGGGACAATATGATTTTTGCTGCAGGCCTTTCTTAGTTTATTTTGACTTCCAAAATAAGCTTCCTAATTCGGAAACCGTTTCCAAATTCCCTCATCTGAGTTAACTTGCTTAGTAGTTTGATTTAAAGATGCAGTATTTAGAATGCTGTGTAGATTTGGCATACATTGATTATAATAATAATCATGACTTTAGATTAATTAAATTGTCATTCATAATATGTGCAGTTAAAAACCTACCTCTTGTATTTTTCTCTGGTGTCACGCTAATCTTCCTATAGTCAAAAGCAAGTTTGGGCTTTCTGATGCGGCTGAACTTCAAATCTTTGATGAAACTGACACAGCAGTGGAAGAAGACATCCTTCTTGAACTGGTGGAGGCCAATCCGGATTTATGCCTGACAGTACGTGACAGCTTTTTAGGTGAAGGTAAGCTTATCTGCATAATCTGCTGCACAAACGTGTAAAGATGAGACTCCTTTATGTCCTATACTGTCTGATCGTTACTAGGTAGATTAACTCGGAAACAATGCTTGCAACCAATAGGTCAGCATCCACTTGCCAAACCAATTAATACAATGTAGGTTGGGTTTTGATTGTCCCATGTTTCTGTTAAACAAGGTCAGTTTGTTGTTTCAACAAACATATTGCCATCCATGGATGAACAGATGCTTCATGAATTGATAGAGGCCAATCCTGACATTTGCCTGACAGTATGTAGCAGCATTTCAGGTGAAGGTAGGTTTCAGGTTTTTATGCTGCACACATTGTATTTGTGGAACTAGAACCCTTTTATGTCCCTGACTGACTACTGTGACAAAATAGATGACCAAAGAAACAATATTTCAGCATAAGGAGCGGCATCCACTTGCAAATTTGGTTTTGCAAAACCATTTTTTTAACGCTCACTCTTTTTATTTGAAATCATCACTATATCACATGTTATCTCCTCTACTGACTGTACCACCACCAATAGCAGATTTCCTTGTTTTCAACGTTTTTTCTCCTTCAGATCATTCAACACCATCTTCCCTCACGGATACCATGTCACCTTCAAGTGATAATGACCTCTCCAGTCAAAGAGAATGGGGGGCTCCCACAGGCCGAAATGTGTCCAGCTTTGAAGTCATGAACACGTCTACCACAGAGGTTTCTGAGTCGGAGGCTGCAAAAGAGGTACTGTCATTTCCAAGACTCAAGAAGAAGTAAAAGTGTCTTATTATACTGAGATTCCTACAAATCTGACTTTTTTTAAATGTATAAATGGTGAATGAGTTAGTCGGTAGTTGAAACCAGACTGGCTTAGTTTGGCTTTTGGTACAACCTACTGTATTATCAAATAGGTTCTACCTTTTATTAACATTTCACCAAAACCTTTTTTTATTACCCTTGGTCTGAACAGAAACATTTTATACGTTGTTGTTCTAATGATTTTATCCTGGAAGACCGAAATATACACTTAACTATATCTCTTGTGTGAGCAGATGGTAGAAAGTGCTCTGCTTAAGAAACCTGGAGGTGATGATGTCCTGGAAGAGTACAAGTCAGAAAATTCACTGAAGCACAGCACTCGGAGACAGCTTGTCAACATATTGGCTAGCCATATGACTGAAATGCATGGGTAAGTATTTCTGAAACGCATTGTTCTTAAAAAAAAAAAATCTAACTAAAATGGTTTATTAAGAAGTATGGTAATGGATGTTCTAAACGTGTGGCATTGAATGAACTTATGTGTGGAGCTAGCAACATTACTGGGACATTTTGATTTAGTTTTTGTTTTGTCTTTGCTACAAAGGAGGATTCCTTCCCGTAAACAGAAGGAGAAGTATGCCCTCGGAATCATTAGTCTCTTTCCGTCCCTGAAAGATCCCTTTTCTCGAAAAGGCTATGTAAGTTTAAACCTTTTTTTTTTTACACGCAGCTTTGGACTTAAGTTTATATGATTGAGTTACTTATTAAACGTTACTTCTTAAAATCTGGTGTCATATTTGGTTTCTTTAATACTGATATAAAAAATGCAAGCCATACTATGCTACAACATTTGAATTGACCATGAAGTTAGTAATGATGTTGCAGAAAAACTTAAAGATAAATGAGTGATAGACCTTTCTAATATTTTTGAAAATGTCTTAACAGGAGCACTTCTACGATGGGGAAAAAAACACAGGATATTTATCATGGCGCCTCAGGACCATGTCCAGAAAGAATCGGGCAACACGCAGTCAACGGGCTGTGCCAGCCACAGTGCCTCAAGCACAAGGACCGAACCGCCCAAGATCAGCACCCACAGTGCCTCATCAGCTTGATGGAGATGCTTGCAGGGAGGCGTTATCCTTTCTTGTTCACTCTCCCGATGAAGCAAGTGTGTTCGAGAAGATGAAGATAACCTTACAACATCGCCAGGACTTAGTGCGTGACCCACAGCGAACTGCAGATGTCTTTAAAACCTTTCCACGTTTTTTAGATGTCAAAGGACTGGTGAGTTTTACATTTGACTAATTTAAAGTCCAGTCTTTAAACTCTAATCTTTAATTTGGTTGGGTGTAAGCAATGAAATGCTTAATATATTTGCATATGTGTATAATCAACAGCTAACTCAAGACTTCCTGCTGCTGTTTGGTACTGAAACAGCCTGCAAGATGTTTGAGAAGTGGGACACTGCTTTCAAGATCAAGATTATCAAAGAAGCCAAACACCTGACTCAGTCAACAGAGCTGTGTCGACTTCTGAACGCTGCTGAGACACTTGCAGAGAACGATGACACCAGTAAGCTACATGCAGTCTTGGTTATATTCCAAATAGCTAGTGCTCGTTACTTTGTGCATTTTGAGGTAGACACTGACATTTTTTTGTTGTCTGATTTCTCCTCCTGATAGGCTGGGACAGTGACATGGCTTGTCTGCTGCTGCTCCTCTATCTCTTGCCACCCACTGCTGGAAGGAAGAGGACCAAGATCAGTCCCAGTGATGCAGTGGACAAAATGGTGCACTTCCACAAGGTATGCATGTCTCATATTTTCTTCCCCCAGCAATAAAAGGGAGGCGAAATCTAAACTGAACATTTTAACGTTGCTGGATAACTATCCAAACTTTTACTTTACGGTGTTCATGTTGTTTCTCTGTTTTTCAGTCATGCTGCAGCATCGATGAGCACCTGCGGGGAAGAAAGGGTCAACAACCGTACATCCTTGCTGCTGGCCGAACCCGGAACCGGATTGACACCTTCTACATTGTAATCGACAAACAGCTCATCCCATGCCAAGCCACCAGCTCATTGGGTGCTTTTGACGAACTGTTCAAATCTCACTATGTGTTCAACCTGTCCTTCGAGGAGTCGTTGGTCCAGCTGTACACATTTGTCCAGACAACAGTATACAACATCGACATCAACACAACAGATGAGTCTCCCAGAATCCGTGAGTTGCGGGCAAAACTCTTGAACTAGGATCAAAACATGTACAAGTGTTTCATATGTCAAGCTGTACACAAGACTTGCCAGTCCTTGGTAAGCCATTTAAGAATGGATCACAGTTTCTATCCTAGCAGCAGGTTTAAGTTGGTTTGTGCACAAGATCGTTGTAGGCGTCAGTTTTTATCATATTCAGGTTTAAAAAAACATTTAAATAGTGTTCATGAGGGATTTATGCCAAAGTGGTGATGCAGCAAACTCTCAGTCATGTCTACCTATTTGTCACAGTCTCCAAGGTACTTCACATGTTGCTCAAACAAATGTCACACATGGCCTAAATGCTGGGTGTTTTGAGGACAATGGATCAAATCTCTACAAAGAACATACCAAAAATATTTGTGCTTCAATTGTTGCTAAACTCCAAGGAAGTACTATGGCAAGTAGTTTTGTTTCAACAATTGTTAGTGATTTGGAAGAACTTGCCACTGGACTGCACTCCCAAGTTAAGCAAGAAATACTGTCTGCGGTGCCTACAGATGATCCTGTAAGATCTAGATTAGAAGAAGGTCTTGAGAATTTTGAAAACCCATTTGAAAGCTTCAATACTGAAACTAAAAGAACAAAATATTTCAACCAGAAATGGGGGGTTGTTGAGCCAGTTGAAATAATGTTAGGACATCGATTTGATACAAGGCGAAATAAACAAACTGGTACATATGATCAAGTTCCAGTGAAAGACACTTTCGTTTACATTCCAATTTTGGAGACAATCCAATTTATGTGCCGGAATTCGGACATTTGCAAATTGCTTGGGGAAACTTCTGTATCAAAAACCGACAGATATGAAGACTTTTGTGACGGAAGTTATTTTAAGACACATCCATTGTTCTCTAAACAACAGCTTGCTTTACAAATTCAGATTTACTATGATGACTTTGAAACTGCTAACCCACTGGGTTCGAAACAGGGTGTTCACAAAATGGGAGCTCTCTATTTTGTCCTCAGAAATCTGCCCCCAATGTTTAACTCCGTTTTGATGAACATCCATTTGGTTGCACTGTTTCATAGTGAAGATGTGAAAAAATATGGCTTTGATCCTATTCTGCAGCCTCTGATTAAAGACATCAAAAAACTTGAAAGTCATGGCCTTGACTTGCCATTCTCTACTGAGAAAGTCCATGGCACTATATGTCAGATAACTGGGGACAACTTGGGGATGCATGGAATTCTTGGGTTTACAGAATCGTTTAATGCACGTCATTACTGTCGCCTGTGTTTGGTGGAAAAAGTTGATGCCCAGACTGTGTACAATGAGGATGACCACAAGATAATCTTGCGTGGAAAAGACCTTTTTGAAATGCACTGCAATGAGTTGCAATCAGATCCACAGACCTTATCAGTATTTGGTTTAAAAAAAATTCAACTCTCAACAACCTACAGTTCTTTCATGTTAGTCACAATTATTCTTTGGACATAATGCATGACATTCTCGAAGGGGTTGCTCAGTTCGAGATGAAGTTACTTTTCGAGTATCTGTCAGAAAATCTTTTGTCAAAATCTGATCTGCTCTCTAGAATTTATGCTTTTGACTATGGGTACTTGGAGCGCAAAAACCGTCCTACAAGGATTAACTTGGACAGCATTGGCAATAATATAGGCCTCAATTCCATTCAGACTCTTTGTCTTGTGAGAAACATTCCTTTGCTTTTTGGTGACATTGTGCCAGAAGGAAACCAAAACTGGCTTTTGCTGCTGCTTTTACTGCAGATAATCAACATCATATTTTCTCCTTCTGTTACATTAGGCATGACTGTGCTTTTGAAACATCTGATAATGGAACATCATGACTTGTTCAAACAGCTGTATCCACATAGAAACCTAATTCCAAAACATCACTTTATGATACACTATCCAGCTTGTATTAGAAAAATAGGACCCTTGATACATATGTGGAGCATGAGATTTGAAGCAAAACACAAAGTCTTCAAAAACACTCTAAAAAACTTCAAAAACATCACCAAATCACTTGCCAAAAAACATCAAATGTCCATAGGATATCATTGGGATACATCACCTTTAAACCATATTGCATATGGACCACTGAAACCATTTAATTTGGATGAGGATAGTGAGAGGTTTTCTCAAGCTCTGCATGCTGCTGTACCAAAATACATCTTCTCTACTAACTGGGTTACAATCAGTGGGACAGAGTACAGGACAGGACTAGTCATTTGCATTGAGGTTGAGGATGGAATGCCTGTTTTTTGCAAAATAAACAAGGTCCTTTTAGTTGATAGTGCTATCTACTTCCTTGTGAAAAAGCTTGTGGTTGACCATTTTAGTGAACATTTTCATGCCTACAAAGTATTTGAAAGTGATGAAAAAGATGTAATCAAAGCAGAAAGCCTTGTAATATATAAGCCCTTTGACTTACAAAGTGCTTATGGTGGAGATGAGAGCGAATATGTCTTGCCTTTGTTTTATTTTTAAATGTGCATATACTGTATAGTTGTGTACATAAACTAGTCCTCTCTATTTGCCACATGTCCTGACCAGTTGTCAGTTGTTTCTTTTGAAAAACAAAATGTGCATTATGCTGTGCTGGATAGAGTGGAGAGATACATTATCTGTAACATGTTTATGACGCCTGTTAAGTGCAGATACTGTAATCTTTGCAGTGTTGAATAAAAAAGGACAACATTGAGAGTTTGTAATGATGTATTAAATATTCTTAAGTCTTGTGGAAGTCAACAAATGTATCTAAATGTAAATAGAGCTAATAGATTTAACCTATAGAGATTGTGTTTTTCTTATAGTAACAATTATTTGTGTGTACAGTGCATAGATTAATATTGTAAAATAATACCATTTCAGATATAAAACACTGAAGGTTCAAAATGAACACTCACAGTGCAGGGGAATAATTAATTAACAATTTAGTGTTAAAAATACACTTTCCTGTGTAATTGAACCACTTTCTAAATTATATAAATCAACACTCCCAGTGTAAAGCAATAACACCATTTAGTGTTAAAAATGGTTATAAAACAACACTGTCAGTGTTAGATAATTAACACTATTAAAGAGTTAAAATATTAACACTTTCCAAAGTGTAACTTTAACTCCCAATTGGTGAGGATTATATAAACACCAAGTAAGTGTTGATTTTAACTCTATAAGAGTTAAATTAACACTTACGATTTTGCTGTGTAAGTACAGAAAGAAATTGGAAACAAAGATTATGCCTTAACTTCAATTTAACGCGCTACAGAAGGAGGCACCAACAGTTAAAGTGGACCTATCATGCTATATTTGAATAATATAGTGTAGGACCATACCTATATAAGGCATATTTATACTTTATTTTTTTCAAAATACCAAACAGATCATGCATTTTAGCCATGCCTCATTTCGCTCAATTTGAAAAATGTTAGCTCTGTTTTTGCAAGGGTTGATTATGTGAGCAACAGCACCATCTAGAGGCCTGGCATATGTACTACAGCGTCTCCAGCGCTTTCGAACGGCAATGCCGTGGTTGTCTCCTCCTGATTGGTGGAGTTGGCCCAATAGCCGTAGCGCCACTGTCCTGACGTCAGGACAGTGTTCAAATCTGGATCAGTTTTGATCAGATCCGTTGCAGCCCCTTTTTTAGAGATTTGGGTATGGAGGAAAATAGAGAGGCAGTGGCGAGCCGTCAGGGCCCTCTAGGCCCTCTGTGAGGGCCTAAGATATTCTAAAAAATAATATTTAAAAACATTTAAAAAATATATATTTTTTTTAAATATATATTTTTTTAATATTATTTTTGTTATATTTTTCATTAGTTTTACAGAAAAAAAACTTGATTTAATTGTATTTAAAATAACATTTCCAAAGAAATAAATCCTTCGAATCTGCCTGTTCAGTCTCTGTTGAATGTGAAGGGTTACATGAAAGAAGCTCGTCTGGCCCTCTCTGCGATTCACAGAGGGCCCGCTATAGTAACTGAACGAGAGAGTAATGTCAAATGACAGTACAATTGACCAATCATATCTTCCCTCTAAATGGGTGGGTTTTATTATCGCGGACTTTATAACAAGTTCCGCCCGCTGTGAAACTGTTCTTGTTTCCATAGCAACAACAACTTCCTGTCAACAGCGTGAACTCGCCTTCAAAATAAAAGCATGCCAAATTACACTTAAGACATACAACTGCAACGAAAGTAACAAACACAATGCAATATCATTTTCAATGTCAAAGAACACAAATTGGGTTCACAGGTGTTGTTTTGTGTGGTAGAGGGTCGCTGTCATTGATGCGTTTTGCACCCTGGGCCGTTGTTTTGATATTCCGCTGAAGTATACGCTGTGACGTAATAACTATTTTTTTTTCTTTTTTTCGAGGGAATTGGTGGGGGTCAGAGGGCCTAGGTATAAAGCTCACGGCTCGCCACTGTAGAGAGGGTTGTGTTTTCTGACACTTGGTGAGTTCCCTGGATCACCGGGGACACATATTCATGTATAAAAGATGTACAAAAGTGCATTTTGCATGATAGGTCCCCTTTAAACTTCCCAGTAGTCTTCCTGGATCACCCCTCGCCTTCTTTAGGCTGCAGTGAAACAGGCCGCATCACAGAGTGGCCCTAATGGCGCATTTCCACTACACGGCCTCGCTCTGCCTCGCTCGGTATGGCTAGGCCTCATTAGGACTGGCTCACTTTATGGCGCATTTCCATTACAGTTTAGGAACTGGGGTAGTATCTATAGTAACGCAGTGTAGGCGGAGCCGTGACGTCATCTTCAATGAGAACCCCAGAAAAACAACACAGCCGTTAGCTGTTAGCACTCACAGCTCACAGCTCCTCATATCTGTTCAGAAACTAGACAAAAGTTAAACAAGTACAAACCACAGACTGTCTGTGTCATGGCGAATACAGTCGCTGGTTTATTTATGTCTGTATAGGCCGTTGTTGTGAGTGTGGACGGTCGGAGCATATATTACGTTAGCTTAGCCAATCTCCATCTAAAACACGCATTCTAATGCGCGTTTCCACTACACGGCCTCGCTCGCTTTTATACGTCCTATTCATTGTCTCAATGCGCTCATACATCTTAAGAAAGTTATCACCAAAAATGTTAAGAATATTTTTAGAGAACGTTATCCTACCTTTCAGAAGAACATTCTGGGAACCA